TGAACATTTATTGAAAATTGGCGTCCTATACAACCATTTCTACATTATCACCAGCATGATACAATCTTTCCTAAGTAAATTCACTTAATTTCCACTTTCATCCTAGTGGAAATCGCACAAATTCACCATTTTCCGAAAAATGCAGCTGCGCAGGAGGTAACCTCTACCTGTGGGTGTAAACTTGTTGTGCCTAATTTTCCATGAAAACATCTCCGATCCATACCGAAATAATAACAGTTAGTTTGCAAACACGTTTTCTTACACGATTCAAGCAAAAGTTTCCACCGGAAATTATTAGTTTTTTATTTATGTACCGATTTGCCCCCAAAATCGTCTGTTTTACTTGGAGAATTTGGAAACTATCCTCCTTCTAGTAGTTCTCACTTCGAAATGTAGGTGGCGAAAGCTTGGAAAAGTTTCACTGCAAGACGCCAATACAGAAATTCAAAACAAAAATTTTATCTGCGGATTTGAACAGTTTTTGACCTGTTTCATACAGCTAGCTGGCATCCCTATCTTGTTTGCCTTGCCTTGAAAAGAGCTAACATCGCTGCGGACCCGCGAATTGCGGGCCCCACTGACAGCTCATAATTTGTAAACAAATAGAAGATTCAAGCCAGAATTTCAAAAAAGGCGTGACTGATATTATGGATATTCTTAATATTTTTGCTTACATTTTGTGAAAAATAAACTTAGGACTCATAAAATATTATTTTCTAATTTTCTTCCACGAAGTCAACCATTTATATGGCATAAAAGGGAAAATAATTTCATTTGATAAAAATAAGACAATTCAGTCACGCCATTTTTGCAGTTCACACTGGAATTGTGACGTTTCAGATGTTGGTTTCAATAACATGGCGGCATGCCAGCCAGCTGGTTTCATACTACCGGAAGGTGTATGCTGGTCACAAATGCCGTGCCAAACTGATTTCCTATGAAATTAATCAATCTTTGATGTGAAATTCGCTAATAAACACGAGGCGCATTTCTTATAGCAAACATGCCATAACAAAATGGGCATGGTTCATTTAAGTAAACAAACTAACACTTCTTCCGACTGTTACACCTATGTATTAGCCGTCTCGACCCGAGTCGACTTTCGGAATCAAGTGAGAAGAATCACGTGATGGTGAAGTGACAATTCAGTACCAACATTTCAAAGGGGCTTAATTGCTTTTGTAAACAATGGCTTTGGACGTCGATTTCTCGCAAATGAAAACCCACCCCTCCAAATTACCAATGCTAGCTGATACAGGAAACATACCTCTGCATGCTGGTGTCATTCATTTTCATGAGTGAGCTTTCATTCGCGAGAAATTGACGACTAAAGCCATTGTTTACAAATGCAATTACGCCCCTTTGAAATGTTGGCACTGAATTGTCGTCTCACCTCACACGCCGCGCAGAATAATCACAATTAAATGTAATGGACGGGAAGGTCCACCAGGGCACCCGTATGAAGCGAAATGGATGGGAAGTGTGGAAATGTTGTGTTGGAGTTGTGTCTTTAAAATTTCGTGAAAAGAGGGTGGGCTCTTCTCTCGACTCATTGGGACATCCTCCTGTTGGATGGTCTGTTTTTTGACCGGTTGTATGATCCTGTTGTTGGAAGGAGATTCTCATTTATTCCGTGGATGCACGTGGGCGATGTTGCTCACGGATTCACCCAAACCGACCCTTCATACAATGGCAGGTTGAATACAATTAGAAGCTTCGGCTTTCCTCAGCTGCTAGACGGACGAAGGCAGTGCAAAGCGGGTGCTTTTCAACTTCGCCAGCTGACCAGCTTCATGGCGGATCTTCTACGAGGACACCGGTGTGGCGAAAATTACGTTGGCCAGATGGTCGTTCACCAGCATTTCGTCGTCGGATAGCGAACGGGCCTTTAGGACAGCCTTTATGGAGGACGTTACCTTCCATTTTTTTTTGAGAGCTGCTGTCCATGACGTTTGTTTTCTGTGCTGGTGGTGCATCCGGACTGATTTGTATTAGATAGGGGGAGGAGGGGCATACTGAACAGGTGGGACATAGTGAGCATCCCGCAGTTTGGCCCTGGATCTCTAGCTGCATGAAACAAGTCAACTGGTAGTAGGTTCAATATCATTGTGATATTGATCCTACCACCAATAAATTGATTCCGAACGGCCGGAAGTCCAAGCTAGTGCACGGGATGCTCACTATGCCCCACCTGTTCACTATGCCCCTCTTACCCCTAGGGCGGTAAAATGTATGCATTTTTTGTAATAGGGATCATTTTCAAACCAATTTTGAAGGTTCTACAGTGGCATCATTTTCAACCATTTGAGTCCTATTGATATTTATTATTATTATTTTTTTATTTTATGGCGTCGTTTTGGGCTGTGAACCATTTGCCGAGTTAAATTTAACTCGTGGTTAAAAGTGACATTCCGAAAGTTATTTTCTATGTTCGAAAATCCCCGTGCTGTCGATCGACCGGTTTTGTCAAAATTTAACTTCTTGTCTGTCAGAAATAACCATGCTAGGATAGCAGGGTTCATCGATAACTTTCCATCTGTCAAATTTTAACCAAAAGTTTAAAAAAATCGCCAAATGGTTCAGAGCCTTAGCAGTTATTTTTTTTTTGCTGTGGCATCGTTTTGAACGATTTGAGCAGATTTTGCGTTTTCTGTAATGGCGTCGGTTTGAAACGATTAGGGCAGGCTTGGTAGTTTTTTTTTCGCAATGAGCAATTTCAGGTGAAATGGGGCACTAATTTAAGAGATGTGTGTAATTGAAAATTCGAATTGGAAGTGCATTTATAGCCTACGTGGTGACAATTTGTGGACTCTACAAGGAATCACCTTAGACTATTTTGTTATTTAAATTAGCTCTGTTTTAAGGAAACAAGCCACCACACTTACACAGAAATGGTATGATTCTAACGCAGATATTTTATCTGGAGGACCGGCCACTAAAGGCCGACGCACAATAGATACGTTTTCGGGTTTTTTGACAGATAATGCATGGGCTAACTGTCAAAAAACCTGAAAACGTATCTATTGTGCGCCGGCCTTAAGGCTGTGAACCATTTGCCGAGGTCAATTTAACTCGTGGTTAAAAGTGACATTTCGAAAGTTATTCTCTATGTTCGAAAATCCCTGTGCTGTCGATCGACCGGTTTTCGAGAAGGATTCACCCACGGTTGTCAAAATTTAACTTCTTGTCTGTCCGAAATAACCACGCTCGGATAGCAGGGTTAATCGATAACTTCCCGAAAAAAATAACAACAATAATACAATAAAAAACAATGTAACAATAAGACGAAAATTATTGTCTTAACAATGATTTATATTGTTACCTGTGTTGTTACGTCTACAATAAATTTACCTGCTGTACAAAACAGTAAATGTCATGGTAAATGGAAAATTTACAATAAAAAAGGAGGGTTGTTAAGTATCTTAACAATGAAATTTTCGTGATTTTCCCATATAATTCTTTTTCAATAACATTATATCAGTGCTAACATTTGAAAACGGCACAAAAGCCATTTGTAAACAAATGGTTTGTGGGCCCTTTACTCGCTACCCGAAGAACGCCCACGCAAACCAACAGCATCGTCAGGAAGGGGAAAATTTCCCCTACCCGATGTTGCTGTTGTGTCGCGTGGGTGTACTTCAAGTAGTGAGTAAAGGGCCCACAAACCATTTGTTTACAAATGGCTTTTGTGCCGTTTTCAAATGTTAGCACTGATATATTATTGTTATTTTACTGTTGGTTGGCGAATTTATTGATTAAAAAAAATAACAGTGTACTTTAGAGTGTATGTGTTGGCTTGACAGATCTTTTTTATCGACTTTAAAAATAAATCGAAAAAATAAAACATCGCCCCGGGAAGGGAAGGGGGTGGTATGTCTGTTACGGGTGAGTCCTTTTTTTACTGGTTATGGATTGAAAGCACGACAGCAGCGCTGTTTTATATCTTTTCAGGTTCAAGCAGAACGATGTGCAACCGAACCTGATAGAATTTCCCGCCGTTTTTTAGGAATGGGGCGGAGCAAAAAGTTTCTTTTGTGCAGAATAGGGGAATTTACGTATTCTCGTCAATCTAAGCAGCGTCTGCACTTCTACTAGCATTTTCTCAGCGTCACGCACATATATGATGTGTCTGTTTGTTTACATTCATCTGCTGCTTGCTTCTCTATCCATTCCAATCGACAGCATTTTTCAAAACGTTTTGAAAGCGTTTTTACAACGCTCCAAACTTCTCAGGTGAGTGTGACTATTGTCGGCAGCCTCTTTTTCTTCGGCAACCTTCCCATTAGAACTGCGTGTTAACCAGCTGTTCTATTATCGGCAACTCGAAATCAACCCCATTTTGTAGTGCGTATGCTTTATTTGAAGAAAAATGTAGCATTACTGGATTGCTCGATCGTTCAAATATAATCAGATTGAAGCTGAAAGGCTAAACAATCGTTTGGACACATTCAGGGAAGTGCGTTGATGGGAAAACATAGTGAAATTAACGTTTAAATTTAGGTTGCCAAAAACAGTCAATGGGTGCCGAAGCCAACATTTACCCTATGTAAAAAAGGATGGACTTTGAATGTTAATATAATTGCATATAGAGGTACCAGATATGTTTTACAGTTTTTTTTCGTACCGAAAACAAGGATCAGATCGTTTGCGCTTCACCCATTCAGTCCAGTTGATGTACATTTATGGTTCCAACTGAGACTCGAATAGTGTAGTAGTCAAGCAGTTTAGTCCGGTTTTGGCTCGCTCAGTCGAGTTGTTCGAGTTGCTCGTTTGTTCGTGTCGTAGTGCCGGTTGCATCGTGTGATGGAAAGGCAGCGGTCCCGGAGCAAGCTCCATGAGAAAGTGGAGAATAGTGGTGAAGGTAGCTCGTGCGTACCTATCACAAATAGGTACGCTACTCTTCCCACCGATGTTGGGAATGCCCTACCAGCGGAAGTGAGCGGACGAAGAAAAGAAAGAAGAATCAGGGCCAGTCCGATGGTGCGAGTGGCCGTGACACCATGACGAACGTCAGCGACATCGGTGAATTCGGCGGTACCGTCGAGCATGAAAATTCTGCCGTCCCGAGTGCGGCAAAAGTCAAGCTTCCTCCACTGGTGGTGATGAAAGTGCCACTCAACACGCTCATTAGCGATCTCACATCGCTGGGCGTTGCAGCTGAATTCAAGCTGAGCAGGATCGGCACCAAGGTGATGCTGCGTACCAAAGCAGAGTACGAAGCAACCGTGAAGTACCTGAAGGATTCCAGGGTGGAATACTTCACACATGACATCCCCGGCGAGGGGCACGCAATAGCCTTCTTGACTGCGTTGGATTTAAAGTACAAGGTGTTTAACTATGTAATTAAGTAATTAAAAATGAAAATTAAGTATTTCATGTAATTAAATTTAATTTCACGTAATCAAAGCAGTGCCAGTGTAATTACTGTAATAAAAACACGTACTTCAATTTGATTACGTAATTAATGTAATTTAAAATTAATTTTCTGTAATTAATGTAATTAAAGTTACACAAATGTAATTAAAAACGTACCAAAATCCTTATTCTTGAAGTATTAAAAAAAAAAAATTAAGAAAACCCTTAACACATACTCGAATGAATTTATCTCTTAACTCTTCTTACACCCTGAAATACGCATATTAATGTTTTACTAGACTACAAATATGACCAATTCTGCGAATACTTATACTAAATTTCTTGGAGAGAGTTAGAAACTGAAATAATCCACTCGCGACAATCGATTTCACTTTCGTTTTGTACGTTCAACATAATGTCGTATCTAGTGCACTGTATTCGTTGAATAATGCGCTTTAATGCAGAACTAGAATAAAATCGATTGTCACGAGTGGGTTATATCGGTTTACAACTCTAGCGACAAAATACAGTGAAAAGGAAGTGATACTCATAATGAGGGCCGTGATTGCCGTACAAATGAAATGGGAATCACTTAGTTGTGACGACAAGTCTTCAAATTTTACATTTCCTTAAATTCAAGCAATTCCTCGAGCAAATTTCCTCCCGATCAAAAAATGTACGAATTTTAAGCCATGCTCGCAGCACAGTTCGACAGATGATGATATTAGCTTGTGCCTGAATTAACAGATTCAATGGAAGATGTATATGCATTTGCATTAATTTTCTGATGTTACGCGTGAATTCCTCGATTATTTCAATATTTCTTTCAAACTTAATATTATTATACTAATAATAATTAACAGATTTAAGGCAGAGTTCATTAACAAAAAAAAAATTATAATCAGGTTTTGGTTGCAGACACTAAGATGATTCAAACCAATTGTGTGCTTTTATTTGTATTATCGCCATCATATGATCACATCCGTATTCAGAATTGACGCGATAGCATTTATGAAATTCGCCTCCCCATTGTTCGTCTTTCCATGGGTCAACTAAACAATACTATGGGCAGAACTCCAAACCGATAGGAAACGATGAGTCCAATGTGCACAGGACACGAAATGATCGTTACCGACCAACTTGACACACTCAAGTTATCCGTGCTGGGAAGACAATTGCATACAAGCTGCGATTTTTTTCCGGAAGTAGCTCAGCGTGTGAATGTCCAAAGTATTCACCAGCTCCAGTGTCCGTTCAGCTGTCTGGGATAGCAAATTTGAACTCTTAATATGGTCATTACCGACGGAGTTTCGTAAAATAATGAAGTTTGATATGTCACACGAGGTTCCGGTTCTTATTGGGAGTTGGTTATTTAACCGGGGGGGGGGGGGGGGAGGGGGACAGTTAAATGGGACTGTGGACTGTCTAAGACCATTATTAACCGTGCAGAATCATGAAGTTTGATATGTCGCACGAAGGATTTTGGTTCTTGTCGATAATTGAAAATATACCCGGGAACACCGGAACATGCCAGGGAGGGCCAATGGGATCGTAGGCTCTCAAAAAGACCATTACTGGCCGAGTTCAGCAGAATCATAAAGTTTGATACGTCGCATGACGTGTTTTGGTTCTTGTGGAGAATCGGTCACTTGCCCGGGGACACAGGAACATGCCCGAGAGGGCTAGTGTGACCGTCGAATCTCATTAAGGCCATTACCAGCCAAAATTTGGAAAATCATGAATTTTGATATGTCGCACGATGGGTTTCGTTCTTGTTGAGAATTGGCCACTTCCCCGGGGGCACCGGAACATTCCCGGAAGGGCTAGTGTGACCATGGACTTTCAATAAGGCCATTACTGGCCAAGATTTGTAAAATCATGTTGTTTGATATGCCGTATGATGGGTTTTGGTTCTTGTTGAGAATTGGCCACTTCCCCGGGGGCACCGGAACATGTCTGGGAGGGCTAGTGTGACCATGAACTCTCAATAAGGCCATTACTGGCCAAGATTTGTAAAATCATGAAGTTTGATATGTCGCATGATGGGTTTTGGTTCTTGTTGAGAATTGGTCACTTCCCCGGGGCACCGGAACATTTTCGGGATGCCCAATGTGATTGTGAACCATCGAAATAGCTGCCACTGGTCTAATTACATCGTTTGAGAGAAAAAAACATGATGTTCATCGTGTGTATACTTATTACAGAACAATAAAGCCGAATGCCGACCAAAAGCGACCCCAACGGGAACCGAAATAACTCCTGAACCCTGAATTGATCAAAATATTTTCAGATGTATTCAGAAACTTCAATAAATTCAAGACAAAATTCAATTTGTTGTAAAGACAAATATTGAGAAATTATGTTTTTATAGCTAATTGAATTTTGAAATCTATGCAAATTTAGACGTTAGGCACGCAAAGGTTAACATAATTTTCTATTGTAATTCTGTTTTTGTTCGCATCCTCCAAATTAAATTCGTTATTTCTTAGGTTGAACCAGGTAGCACAAACTACCATTCCTTTCATTGTCGCATTCTCCGGTGCTTTTACAGGGGCGTGATCCAGGATATAGTTCATTGCCCTGCCAACACCTCGGCAGTATTGAAATCCGACTACATTTCCAATCACGAACCGATCGTTGTATGTGAATTGGCACCAATCACCAACTGAAATTATCCTTAACGTAGCAAAAGGGCCTGTGAAATTTTTGTTTCACGGGCCAATAACGAAAGGGTCTAACGGTACGCTGGGGGAAATTTAAGTACATTTCTCGTTGTATATTAATGGAGTTAATGTACTTAATTTATGCGACTTGTAATTAAAGCTGAAATTTGTACTTAAAAGTAATTAAATCAAAAAATTTCCGACGCTCGTAATTAAAGTAATTAATCATGTAGTTAACTGTAATTATTGTACTTAAAAAAGGCTTGCGTAGGAGTTAAAGGTTATTGCGTGCCCCTCGATCCCCGGTGAGAAGCCCTTCAAGGTAGTCATCAGGGGCTTACCGAACTTCAACCCCAAGTCGATCGAAGAAGAACTTAAGGACCGTTACAAGCTAGCCCCTATCGCATTCTTCCGGATTACGAGGAGAGACGAAAACGTGAAAACGTACACGGATTGCCTTTTCCTGGTTCATTTCCAGAAGGGAACGGTGACGTTCAATGCGTTGAAGGCCATCCGCTCCATCAACTTCATCATTGTTAAATGGGAGCCATACCGTGGCGACCGTCACGACGTCACCAAGTGTCAGCGTTGCCTGAATTTCGGGCATGGCACCCGAAACTGCTACATCAATCCGCGCTGTGGCAAATGCACCCAAAATCATGTTTCCTCCGAGTGCGTTGTCGACGAGTCGGAAACGTGCAAATGCGCCAACTGTGGTGGAGCTCATCAAGGGTCCGACAAACAGTGTCCCAAACGCGAGGATTTCAAGCGGATCCGAAAGCAAGCGTCCACAAGAAGCCAACCAGGACGGAAGCAGGAAAACACTCCGGCATTCAGGGTGGAGGACTTCCTGCCTCTTCGTGTTACGCAACACGGTCAAGCAAATCCACGGGTGTAATCCGGCCCCCGTCAAGAAACGTCTGGTGCCTCAACTGGACAAAGCTCTCCATCCCCCCTGGATTCTGGAGAAAACCAGCAGCACAAAACGCCAATCCCGATCTCTTCTCTGCGGATGAGCTGATGAAGATTTTCGTCGACATGACCAGCGTTCTTCGTCAGTGCCGCAACAAGCCCGAACAGATCCAAGTGCTCGGTAAGTTTATCATTCAGTATGGCGTCTAAACCGTTAACAATAGTCACGTGGAACGCTTGCTCTGTACGAGCCTAAAAGTTCTAGCTTGCTGACTTCCTCCGCAAGCATAGTATCGACGTGGGTCTCCTATCAGAGACCCATCTAAAGTCCGGCGACAGCTTCTGGTTGCCTGACCACAACATTATTCGGCTTGATCGCACCAGCTCCAGGGGGGGGGGGGGGGGTGTGGCGGTCGTCGTCAAGAAAGGAATAAAATACCACACTCTGTCTCATATCCGCACCTCTATCATCGAGGCCCTTGGTGTGGAGGTGGAGTCGTCGACTGGATACGTCCAGTTCATCGCCGTCTACTGCCCTCGACAGTGTGCCGCCAACAGTGGACTAGCGGCTAAATTCAAGAAGGACCTGTCCACCATCACCCGTAACGGTTCCCGCTTCGTAGTAAGAGGAGATCTAAACGCTCGCCATGAGGCCTGGCGGAACTACCAGCAGAACCAGAACGGTCGTCTGCTGTTCGATTACTCACAGCATGGGTTGTACTCCGTTTGGTTTTCGGATGAGCCAACATTTATCTCACCGGCGGGCAACTTATCGACGCTAGACCTGTTCCTGACAAATATCGGCTTGTCCAAACCGGTAGCATTGAACGAACTCAGCTCCGACCATCAACCGGTGGTGGCTGAACTGGGCTGCAACGTGGCTCCTGCTTCAAGCCTGCGCAAGGACTATCATCGCGTAAACTGGGCCCAGTTTGGACGCGTGGTAGACAGGCACATCATCGATAACCCGCCGCTTGACACCGTGGAGGACATCGACCGAGCGTTGGAGGGACTCCACCAAGCCATAACCGTGGCTGACGAAGCGTGCGTCCGACGAGTTCCTGTGAGGGGTAAGTTTATTGCCATTGATTCCCACACCCAATTACTGATTCGCTTGAGAAATGTGCGTAGACACCAGTTTCAGAGGACTGGAGATCTGGACAAAAAACGTGAAATGGCCGATCTGAACAGGCAGATTGCTTCCAGAATGGACTCACTCCGAAATGAAAGTTTCGGGCGTGTTGTCCAGAATCTGGACGACCGCTCCAGACCATTCTGGAAGGTAGCCAAGGTCCTGCAAACTCATCCCAAACCCGTTCCACCTCTCAGAGTCGATAATGATGACGATCGGCTTTTAATCACCCCACAGGAGAAAGCAAATGCGATCGGCGAGCATGTCGCTTCATCGCATTTGCTTGGCTCGACTATCCAAAGTCCGCTCGAAAATCAGGTTGCGCAATGCGTTCAAAACCTAAATGCCTCCCCTTTTGTCGTGCCTCCGGCGGATATGATTACAGTACAACAGATTTGCTCAGCGCTGAAATGCACCAAGAACATGAAAGCTCCCGGGTTTGACGGTACACAGCAAAAAAATAATTTTGATATCACATCAAAGTGGATGCACTACAATCATGTCGAAAATTTCATGTAATTTTTATGACCACATAAATAAACAAATGCAGTAAAAGCAGCGTAATGTCAATTCATGCATTGTATTAATGATAATTTTGTCCTTTTTAGCAAGTAATATTACACCATATTTTCGACATGATTGTAGTGCATCCACTTTGACGTGATATCAAAATTTTTTTTTTGCTGTGTGTATTCAACTTGATCTTGAAGAGACTCACATTCTCCTTCCGGAACAGTTTGGATTCAGAAAGGGGCACTCCACCAATCACCAGCTAGTACGGGTGATGAATAACATCCGAAGTACCAAAGCTGTACCCAAGTCCACAGCCATGGCCTTGTTAGACGTTGAAAAGGCGTTTGACAATGTTTGGCATGACGGACTTGTGTACAAGCTTTGTAACTTCAACTTCCAATTACATCTGATTAAAATCACCCGTAACTACATCCAGCAAAGGTCGTTCAAGGTATCGTTGAATGGTTGTCTTTCAGACACGTTTTTCATCCCAGCAGGAGTCCCGCAAGGCAGTCTGCTGGGCCCCTTGCTTTACAGCATTTACACTTCCGACATTCCTCCCCTCGGTGACGGTTGCGTGTTTTTCCTGTTCGCAGATGATACGTCAATAGCCGTCAAAGGAAGAATGCCTCGCGAAATAACGAACAAACTTCAACGATGCCTTAACACCTTTGCTGATTATGCCACCATGTGGAAAATTAAAATCAATCCCTCCAAAACACAAGCGATCATGTTCCTCCATCGGCAATCGCCGAAACTAAAACCGGCTCCCTCTTGTACTGTAACCATGGCACTATGGGGAAAGTGGTAGCCAAAAATCGAAAAATTAACTAGCTTTGAGTGACGTATCTTGTAAACCATTTGATAGCCAGATAGTTCAAACCTAGATGCCCAAAATTTCAGCCCTCTGTGATGAAAACTCATTGCGCCACAGACATCAGACTTAGGAAAATTTTGAAAATTGTAGAAAAAATGCATTTGAAACAAATGCAATTTTCTCAGCGAATAACGGTCTAAATATTGAATTTAATACACCGTTGGAAAGCTAATCATCTAAATTTTAAAATGGGCATGTTGATAAGGTTACACGGTTAATTAAAATTGGTTAAAAATGGGCAATTATTGAAAAAATTGTTTTTTTTGCCTAAGTTGGACTATATCTAACGAGCAGGGCCGAGCAGTCTCAAGAGACCACCACTACGTTTTAGTTTAGAGTCTATACTATCTGCGGAACAAGGATTCAGCTGCGTATAGCTGCGTATGAGCGTCATTTTGGCACAAAGTCGTAAAAATGATTTTTGAAATGTTTTTTTGTTAATTACATATATCGATTATACGCGCATTAACCAAAAAAATCGTACAAATTAAACACTGGTTGAAAAGTGGAACTGTTAAATGTCAAATTTGGTCTTAAAAATGTTACACACTTAATTATTATTGTTGTTAAAAATGGGTAAAAACAGACCGAAAATTATCATTACATATAGAAACCGTATCTACCCAACTGGACTAAAAAGTTTTCAATGTTTTCACGATAACCTTTTGATATTTTCAATACATAATAACCAACGGAAAAAGAAAGACCACTACCAAAAGGAAATTACCTGTTCGAGTGCCATTTTACAATTTCTACCCACTAAACTTATTGATGTTACCTACTTGCATTTAAAAGACGAGGACAATATTTTCAAATCATGAGTTTGTTTTCGGCTTTAACGCTAACAACGTGTGTGTGCTAACAACAATATTGTGCAGTAATTTAATCGAAAATCTGAAAACAATTGTTTGTGATAATATGGATCATAGGAGCATCGTGTTACTTTTTGATCCCAAAGAATCTCAAGTAGTCAATGCAACAAAAGCATTTGAATATATCAAGAAAAAATATAATATTGATCTTGCCAAAGAAGAACAACTTCTTAAAAAGTTGAAGTACGTAGCACAACATTTTTACAATGCGTGGCAAAAGGCTCACCGCCTACAAGAGCGCTTTGAGAAATACAATAAGGATTGGCTCGATAGTCATTTGGAACTTGCAGAGTACATCGCAGAAACACCTTCAACGTCAACTGGCCATGATGGACGCGGACGTCCACAAAAACAGTTTGATGAGCTTAGTGATAGAAGTAAGCGAAGGAAAACCGATAAAATATTTGGCGGTAATGTTGGCACTATAGAAAGGGCTCTTCTACTCACAAGACAAATTGCGTATAGACATGGGGATTCAAATATGGTGAATTTGATTGGCCATGTTTTCAAAAATCGAGAAAGTGCATTTAAAATGTTTACGACTCTCAAAGATTCGCATGGAATGATGTCACCTGAAGAGGCGTTCGAATATTTTTTAGACTGCGATTTTTCTAAATACGCATATGAGCAAACAGTGAAAAAGAACCCATCAAGATTTCCGAGCTACAATGTAATTAAGAGTATGAAAAAAGTATGCTCACCTTCAACCGAGTCAATTGAAGAGTCATCATCAAAAATTCAGGTAGACATAAATATCCACATATTTTTCCAGTACACCAACTTTAAATGTTTCTTTCTTTTCAGGTCAAATTACAGGCACTCATGAATCATACAACCAGAGTTAATGTACACGTGCATCCATCCCGCGTGATAGAGACACGCTTTCTATAAGATCGTAGGTGCCTGGTACATTTCGAGACGTATTATTTCGCGTTTCCTTTTTGTTCCTACGTGCCTCATTCGTGTCACATGTGCTGTGTCTCATGAGCTAAGCTCGGCGAGCTCCAGGGAGATCGGCAGCGTACCTACGTCTTGCGTGCATGCTACAAGTGGCTGGTTGGGGATAAAAAAAAAAACAGCAGAGAACTGTTGTAGTCCTGTCACATTCTCGTGTTGCTGGTACAACTGATTGATTTCAAACAGTTGGTATTCAGTTTTTGAGGGTTGAGAGATTGTGGTTTTATAGAAGTTTATTTCAAGCGGAAGATGAGTTAAACGATTACGAACCAACTACCGGCGGGGTTATTTGTTACCGATCCATGCGCATGGAATTTTCATGGTTCAAAATATTGATTTAGCTCCACCAAGTTCAAACGATTTCAAATCAGCTCCTGATCATTCTCACAAAATTTGTTCTCATTAGGATGCGAACTCATACTGCACTTGGCCCTTTGAAGTTTATGTGGGAATTGAACAATTGAACGTTAGGATAATTTGTTATTAATTGATTAGGAAGATGATGTTCTTCTGACATTAAGTTGCAAGGAATTTTGTAGTACTAAAAGAAACTTTGTGGTTCTTCAGGGAACTTTTTAAAAGTTCAGCAAACTTTTTTGAAGTGCAGATTTTTCTTTAAATTTCAGCTAACTTTG